CAGCTCAGCAGAACCTAACAAACCGTTATCATAGAGAACCATTCCCTTGATTTTGACGGACGTGCGCGGCGTTCGACTGACTGTGAGTTATGTGTCGCTCACTATTCTAACAAACCATAGCTTTAGAAGCATTGTAAAAAAAATAAAAATGATTTTCTTCATGCTCTTCCCCAAAATCCACTTTGGACAAAATTGGAAAAAGATCCCTGATCTTTATTGGTATATTAATGCTCTTCAACACAAAGTTACTAGTGATCCAGATCCAGAAATCCACAACTATTATGATGGCGAGTGTGATTGCTTGGAGGATGAGCCAAAAAATGTTCAGATCTAAACTTTTTGTACTCCTCATTTTTTTTTGTTTTAGTGGGTAGCGTTTAATATTTTTTATTTCTAAGATATTGTTAGTTTGACAAAATTAACATCTTCCATCTTTTTTTACAAAACGCGATATCTCGAATAGACACATGGCTTTATTTTATTAATGCAAATCAATAAAAATAATGTTAATTAACTTTTTATTTCTCTAATCTAACTCAATTGATTACATTCTCTGAAATTTCGAAAATTTTAGTACAACAGCTGCAATACGTTTTTACGTCTCCTGAAAATTTTTCAAAAGTGGATTTATACAGTTTTGTAAAAAAGCTCCTCATAATATCACTTCATAGATATGTCTGCCACCAGCCATTCTGTAATAATTATATAAAGAGTAAAGCCTTAAAACCGAGGGATCATTTAATATCTTATTAAATTAAATATATTAATGTTTTAGTCACTGTGATAGTTTTGTTTTATTTACTTATTTTTAAAAGACCAGAAAAAAAGATGCTATGCTATGGTATGTTATACGAAGGAATAACAGCTTCTATTTTATAGAACTTATATTTAAAAAGGGGCTATTCAATATCCAATATTAGGAAAAAGAGACTAAACAAATAGAGAGGTACTGTTTCGTAAAAAAAAGCAGTAAGAAAAGTACAATACAAAAAATATATAACGTGTAATGTTAAGCAGTAACTTTGGCAACATTGATTCATCGGGTCGCAAAGTGACGAAAACAAGCATACTCTTAGTTAATACTTGCGGTCCTCATTAGTATTCTCCGTGAATTAATCCAAAAACAGAATTGCAAAAGAGACCGACTGCAGTGAAAAGAGAGGATGAAAGAAGAATACGGTTCTGAACATAGTCGCAGGCGGAGAGTTATCACTGGAGGAAATATAATTTTTGAATATACTTTTTAAAGATAACGAACTGAAATTGCATACATTTTCCATCTTTGATTAGTTTGTAAGGAAAATACTTATTGAAATTGGTAAGGAACATATCAGAGAATGAATGGATCAAGCAATCTACGATCTATAATAAATTATCGTGAATTGGATGAACTAAATACAAATAGAAAAGGTAGGATGGCGTGAAACCATCGCCTTGTTTTTAAATAACGTTTTTTTTTTAATTCCCATACCTTTTTTTTCTTAATTTTTAACACTTACACCGTCATTACTTTATAAAAACTTTTCTTAATCTAGTAATAAGCTAGTAATTGAATATATAGCACACTATCGTCTTCTTTAGCAAGAGATTGATGGCGCCCATTATTCGCATCTTGTATTACATCACTTCTAATGACAGCAACTTTTATCTTGATTAAGAAAAGCATCAATCTCCCAGGTAACATTCTTCATTTCATCAATATTACAACTAAATTTAAAATATTGCTAAGATATTTAATTTCTTAACCGAAATACAAAATATATTTATTTAAACAAACTATTTGTTGTAGGCAAAACTTTATTTATTTTTTACAATTGGTTCGTCTTCATCTTCTTTTTCTATGGAAATAATCTTTTTACAATGAGCATACCGCAGCTAATTAATAACAACAAGCCCTCAGAACTTTGGCAGATTTACTATTCATAGGCTCTCCATCAACAACCGATATTGCTCTTGCATAAAGTGTAAATCTAACCATTCCTCAGTAATAGTAAGTTCTTCTGAATCTGCCTTAATCGGTCTGTCACTTATTTCTGAGTCTCCTTTTGCTCCATCTATTTTCGTCTCATGTCCGTTGTGTTTCACGAGTTGGGACGAAATTCTTTCAATCACGGCAGTGCGGCCATACCGTACCAAGGCTATAATCCTCTGGCGTTCACACGCTCTGTAGGAGACTTCTCTTCACTAGCGAGTTAGGTCAACTGCAAATCCAAGCTTACTGGAAGCTATTGGACGACTTTATAAATAACCTTTTATTCCGACAGTATATCTAAAGTTCACCCTTGAAAAACACCATCTTTTACACTCTTTACGTAAAGAAAAGACGTTGAAATAAAAGTAGACGATTGTATTTCTTTTCGAACTCGACCATTATTCTACACGTGTTTCTACACGAGTTATTTAACTCCTCATCAGGAACACTTGTAGTAGTTTATACTGAAATGAAATGCAAATGAAATTCTCATTTTATATCCTTTTTCTTTACGCATTTTCATTATTACTTTATCCATAATAAATCCATATCATGGATAATGGCTTAGTAAAATACCTTGTCTGATACCAGTGACCTCTATATAGGTAACATAAGAGGCTACCACAAAGGGAGTAAACTGTCTTCGTTCAATCTAGAACCTGCTGGTTGCTTTCGCCTTGGATACGGATATTACGACAGACTAATAAGAAGCAAGAAGACGATATAAAACTGTATTTAAAGTAATTAAAATTACACGGATAATATACGTACATTTAATTCTAATAAATCAATAATATCTACCAATTAAAATATGCGTGACAAAGATACAAAAATCTTTATCTACGGTTGAGAGTAATTCATATATGACAAAGTCTTTGAACAATACAAACATAATCTGTTATTTAGCAGAGTGGCTTTTACTATAGCAGATATAGGAAACCAATACAAAACGAACTATGAATATCTACATCACAGAATCTGCTTATCTACGGGTAAATCATAGCGGGAGTAGGTCAGAATATAATAAGGGACGAAATATTGGCTGAGCAATGACTTTCACGGACGATTGCCACAAAATATATAACGAGGTAAGACATTAGAATAATTTTACATAATAATAATCAAGACAAATATTATAAAAACAATATATGGGTATATTAGACTTCTATCAGGCTAGAGAACAAGCTATATTTAGATCAGGATACAGCACTAACGACCACTTACTAGTGATAAAGAACCTGATAAAGAAGTCTGCAGAATACAACAAACCATTGGCACTAATGTATGTGAGTTGTACTTTACCCCATGGTATTTTCATTGGAAGCAGCAGCTACCGGTGCTGGGAAGTGCGCAAATTGACGTCTTCTTCGACAGGCAGAAAAAACAAAAAACACTAAATGACACTTTGAAACCTACAATATACAAGGTAAATCACAGAAAAGGACCAACTACAATATTGTATTGTATCTGTTTTTATTTGCTACTTTTCTGATGAAGTTGGTGAAATAATGTTAATATTTTAGTTTTTTTTGATCATAGATTCTTTTAAATGCTTAAGTTTTTGTAGAGATGCAGACTACAAATATAGCTCTTGGCGATATGTGTTCAGCATATGACTGTTTATAGTCTGATTGGGTATCATTGATACCCATGGTTACTTCGTAAAAATATTTATAAATATCGTACCTGTTGGCCATTGACTTGGGACGGCTCTGTTTTTATCGAAAAGGAAGAAGATAGGACATTCGTCTGTTGGTTGAAATGCATTCCGGCCGCCGGACTCATTTCTGCCGCTAAACGACGTCACCGGTCACTGCAAATATTTCAAAATCGTCGGAAAAAGTGCTCGCCGGAACGGACGAGACTCATAAACATCCAAAGGGGAATGCCTTAAGGACCAGGCCCGGACATCTTAATGTACTTTTTCTGATATTATTTAAAAAAAGTATTTTTACAGTATTATATCTTATATATTCAATATAAGGCTTAAACGTAGATTAAGGAGATAAAAGATATGGTAAAAAGTTTATGGTCTTCGTCTTCTATATCTTACAGATATACTTTGTTATTTTCTGGTACTGGTACTTTTCTGCTATGTTCTGGTATTTTCACAATTAAGAAGAAATTGTTACTTTGTTGACTGTTTTATAAATTCTGGTGGATTCTGCCGTTAACTAATCTTATAATTTTACTCAAAAGTGCAATGTTATGAACAATATTTTTAATTGTTTGAAAATTTTTAGAATATTTTTACGTTTTTTTAAAAAAACACTCAACCATACTGAATTTATTACAAAAATTTTTGTATAAATGTCTCTTATTGTTAGATAATTGATTAAAATTTCAGAAAAATCCAACCGTTGCAAAAATTGTAAAAAAATTATACTATATTGGACGCCCTCTTCGTGGTCCTCTGCACTCAAAAGTATGTCTTTTGCAGGCACTTCCATCTCGTGAAAAAATACCGCTAGAATAGGTGGAGGATAAAGTAAACGAGTAATCTTTTCCCCATAATCTCGAAGACGTGTTTAATGGGTGAAAGAGCGGATATTTAGGGGACCAAGGCAAAAAATCATCTTGATTGTCTTCAAAATAAGCCAATGTAATTTTGCCTGTATGCGGTCGTACATTATCTTGTTGGAAAACTGAGTTAAGGAACATCCGTATATAAAGCAGAACATGTGGATCCACCACCTCCTATAGTAGCGCAAGTCGGTCATGTCAACTCTGATGAACACCAAAGTTGACCTGCTTCTATAAGCAATTATCTTGGGTTCCATAATTTCTACAGCATGATGCACACGTCTTTCCATATAAAAATGAGTACCTCGTCTTTCATCCATCTCGCCTTATTACCCTTCTGGCGGATATCATCCATACTCAAACAGAATCTGGATTCATCAATATTCCATTGGAGGTCCCAGTTCAGCCGTTTTGTATGATTCGGTGATAAAATGTTTGCATTGTAATACGGCTTCCAAGCTTTTCAGATCAGTAGTTTGCAAATGATCTTTGTGTACCTGCCATCATGCTCGACAAAAAACCACCACGAAATAGCCAAAATAACAACAAAACTTTCCAAGAAATCACCAAATGCTTTCAACCAAAATCATTAAACAACCCAGAGTTTCTACAAGTATGAAGTGCATATCTGATGACATTCTGACAATTATGGAGAGTGCTACAGTGTTGCCAACTATCCATATACAGTATTAGTTCTCAACAACTTCCTTTTTGAGCCACTTACCTAATTTCTTATTCTTCTTCTTCTTCAAGTGCCCTGTCCGTTGCGAACGTTGGCTATTAACATGGCAATTTTGATCTTGTTTGCGGCGCTTCTGAATAGTTCGACCGATGTGAGCCCGAACCACTTCCGCAGATTTTGGAGCCACGAGTGTCTTCTCCTGCCTAGCCCTCGCTTACTGTCTATTTTTCCCTGGACAATCAATTGTAGCAGACGGTACTTATCGTGTCTCAATATGTGGCCTAGATATTCAAGCTTTCTTTGTTTAATTGTATTCACGATTTCTTTCTCCTTTCCGATTCTTTGGAGTACCTCTATGTTGGTGACATGTTCGGTCCAGGATATACGAAGAATGCGTCGGTACACCCACATTTCGAATGCTTCTAGTTTTCTCGTTAGCGTCTCCGTCAGCGTCCAGGCCTCCACGCCATACAGCAAGATCGGAAAAATGTAGCATTTAACTATACGTAGTTTTAGGGGAAGAGACAAATCCTTGCTTATGAGGAGCTTTTTCATATTGCTAAATGCTGCTCTAGCTCGTTCTATTCTTGCCTTAATTTCTATGGTCTGTTCCCATTTTGCATTTACGTTGGTGCCAAGGTACACATAAGATTCTACATGGTCAATTAGTATGTTACTTATCCGTAATTGTCGAGCAGGTTGTTGCTTTTTGCTTATCAGCATCCACTTTGTCTTCTTGAAGTTGAGGCTCAGGCCGTATTCCTCACTAACTGAATAAAGTCTTTCCATTACTTGTTGTAATTCGTCTATGGTACTGGCAAGGATCACCGTGTCGTCGGCATATCTTATATTGTTCGTTAACTCGCCGTTTATTTTTATGCCCTCATTTGCATTTTCCATACATTTGTTAAATATTTCCTCGGAATACATATTGAATAGAAGTGGGGATAATATACACCCCTGACGGACACCTCTTTTGATCTGCACACTTTCAGTGAGTTCGTTGCCAATTTTTGCTCTTGCTGTTTGACCCCAGTATAGGTTTGCCACAATTCGAATGTCCTTGTCGTCAATACCTGTCTTTCGCAGAATACCTATCAATTGTTCATGATTGACATTGTCAAATGCTTTTTTAAAATCTACAAAGCACAAATACACGTCCTTATCAACGTCTCTACACCGCTGTATAAGCACCTGGAGAGCGAAAATTGCTTCTCTAGTTCCAAGTGCTTTCCGAAAACTAAACTGCGATCTTATTATTATAAAATAATTTTACACCATGATGGTTTCTTACGAAAGCGCTTTTCTTGTACCTCTTGTTGAGTACTCTTGGTAACAAACGTTTCATGATTATTGTTTAAGTGCCAGTGTTTGTTAGTAAGCGTATAATACTATTTTTCTATATTATTAGATTAACTTAAATTACCGTAATAACCTGTATTATCAGGATCATTTTGAACTTCTTTGTCAGTCTTAGAAGGTTTTAAATGTTAGTGTTTCTTTTCAACATATTATTGTTTTCATTTAACACATAATAAGATCTAAGTTTTTCAAAGTATACAATTATTTTTCCTGGAACCTAACTTATCCTTAACATTAGTTTGAATTTTAGGATCTAAGTTACATGTTGAGGATGGTCCACTACGGTATTTTGATTATGATATACTGATATTTTTCCCTCCTTGTCTTTCTTGGTCATTTGTTTAGCTATATGAAGGGCCTTTTCAGCAAGATCATTGCTGCGAGGATAATGTGAGGTAGAAGTTATTATTTGAAATTTCCAATTTATTTCAAAAGTTTTAAAATCTATTGTACCAAAAAGTATATTATCACTATAGTAGCAAAATATATGTGTTAACTTAGATATGATTTCTTTCGCAGCCTTATATTTTAATTCTATTACTTTAAGGCACTTAGAATAACTAACAAGAGAATATACACTATGATATGTAAGGATGTCTATAGCAATACTTTCATTTAACGTTTACAATAAGGTAAATCTGATAATTCACTTAATAACAGTTTTTCTTTTTTGTTTGCACTGAATTTTTTACACAAATTTTACAATACGCAATCATATCCTCAATATCTTTGCACATACCAAGCCAAATACCATTTTGAAAAATTAAAATCCATTGATTAGAAGCCTAGGAAATTGTTTAACATACACAGTGAAAAACACAAATATAAAAATATACAAAAAAAACAATTTAGTTAGGTATAAAATAGTTTTCATAAAAACCACCACACTAGGAGCTCAAACAAACAAACTAGAAAATTCTTTTAAAAAATTTAGGTTAAATTTTAGGCTTATAAACAATTTGAATAACCTCATCAATTGTTGATTAATCATAATCAAAACGGATGTTAAAAGTACTTCGAAAGACACTTGAAAGAAAAGAAAAAATAAGATGATTTGTTCATTAGTTCTGGAGTTAATTGTGATTATAGGTCAAAGGTGACTACGATTTACAATAAAAGTATATGGTTATAAGATCTATTTTTAAATAAACACCATTACTACACAAACCACTAATTGGGTACAAATTTACATTAGCTACAAATAACAACTACAAGTTGGTTAAAATGTCAATTAAAAGCAGTCCGTCCGTCAAAAAATTGACGGATAGTTAAAATTAAAACAAAAATTTAAAATGTCAATTATCTCTGCTTCTATTCAAGCAATTTTAATTTGTTTTTTTTTAATCGATGTCTAGCGAGCTAAAATCAAATGTCGCATTTGCAAATACGTATTAATAAAATTTAAAAATCCTTTAAACAACCTAGATAGGGAACATCTATCAGGGTGTAACCTAGTGTCTCTCTTGTGAAGAGTCAAACGGCTGGAAACTTTTTGGAAGGTATGGCCTGTATAAGAACCTTTACAGCCTAAACAACTAAGTTTGTATACAACATAACTTTTATCTGAGTTTAACGCTTTGTCTTTTAATTACTTGTACAAAGATCACACAACTAGAGTGCACAGATTTAAAAATATTTATAATACGTACTGTTCTTACACACTTTTATCTTCATTATTAGATTAACAGCTCCATGTTTTATATTGTTTATAGGATTATTAAAATATAAAAAGTTTTTAAATGTATATTACCAACCATATTTTTACAAGTACTTCTTCTTCTTCTTTCAGGGCCCTGTCCGATTATCGAACGTTGGCGATCATATTGGCAATAATAACCTTATTCACGGCGGCTCTAAATAAATTAAAGGTGATTTCTTGATACCATTCTCTGAGATTTCGTAGCCAGGATGTTTTTCGTCGGCCTGGGCCTCTCCTTCCGTCGATATTACCCTGCATTATGAGGTGTAGAAGGTTATACCTCTCTGGATGTCTCATTACATGACCGAAATATTGTAACTTCCGAATTTTTATCGTTTTTGTTATTTCTGTGCTCTTTATTATTCGATGTAAAACTATTTCATTTCTTTTTAGATCAACCTTTTTCAGTTAGGATTTTTCCTTTTAGGTTTTTTCAATGCGTATTCTTATTTCTTTATTTATATCCCAGTTATCGTTAGCGTTTGCACCCAAGTAGGTAATATTGTGGACTCTTTCTAGCTCTATTTACAAGTGCAACAAGTATGAAATGTATGACTGATGGCATTTTGACAATTAACAACAGTGACATAGTTTTGCCAACTATAAATATACATTACTATGGTTTGTTTTTGAACCAGGAGGAGCAAACTAAAAAAAGAGATTCACACCAAAGAAAGTTACTAGAAAAGTCACCAAATACATCTTCTTTTTTTGTTGATTATCATGGCCTTGCGGTAATCCAGTAATCAGTTTGGGACAACCTCACACGTCGATTCTAACCTAACTTTGTTTGTTTATGTTCATGCCCCGGAAACATATGCAAGACCTTGAAACATTCCCCCATTACTTTGACCCCACGCAGTTAATAAAGAGAAATGACAGCCTATCTCTCTCACGAAGACTTTAACCAATCATTTATTTTAACACAGTCTCGGGGTGTCAATAGAATAATCAAACGAAGCTTAATTCCGCAATGTCAATTCTGTCAAAAGTAATGACAGATCTTCCGTTTGTTTACAAGTTTTCTAAGTTGCTTTCTAAACTAAGTTGGTTACTTAGTTTTTAAAGTTTAGTTTGAGTTACCTATTGTAACAAAGAATTTTTGTGTTGTGCTAGTAAAAAAACTAAACATGGTGAATTATTGTATTGTTCCGTTGTGTACAAACCATGTAAAAATTACAAATAGGATCATGATACTAAGAACCATGATACTATGGTATCATGCTATGAACTCCAATTCACTTTTAATGTATATAGTTTTTTTCTAATTACACTAAAAAAAATGTTGAATTGTTATGAAGAAGTTGAAGAATTTTTAGACTTTATTTATCACATTGTAGTAGAAAATTGTCCGGAACGTATACAAAAGCGATATATTCGTGATAAAATTATATCTAAAATCCAATGGAATTTTACAATATTTCATCAGTGCATTAACTTAAACAACAAATATTCAAAAATATATATTTTATGTTTTTTTATATGTTCCAGTCTGCTTATATTCCTTAATTGTTCTGTAAATAGTTGAATTCGTAGCACCTAAAATTAGCACATTACTTAGTAAGTCTTGATTTTAACAATAACTATTCTGCAAAACAAACCTGTTGCCTGTTTTATTTTTGCTGCCATGGCTGTTATTTTCATTCCAGGATTATCAATTTTTATTTGTTTGTACATGTTTATAATGCATTGTTTTTCATTTTATGGTAAATGACCCAAATCTTTTCTTTTTCTCTAAAAAAGATATTTTGCACAGATGGAAAGAATACTGTGAAGGACTGATGATGGAGGAAAGCACAGACGCCCCATCACAACAAGAAGATGCCAGTTTTGCGACGGAACCTGACGTACTCAAAAGTGAAGTTGAAGC